CCCAAGTCTCAGGTGGGTGTGTTTGTGTATTTTAAAACTCACCATTAGCAGATGCCATGGCAATAAGCTCATCTTAACGGGATCCACACCTGTCTTACAATACATTACTCATCCCACGATTAACATATATTGCATCAATGTACAGAAAAGGCCAATTGTATCCAACTCAGAGCCAGAGAACATATCATTTAATATAATACAAAACAAAAGATCCTTCAGAAGAATAAAGGTATATAGTTGATATGAATGAGGTCTATATATCTATTATGAAGCAAAACACTAATATAACAGAGTTATAACTCCTCCTCATTAGTTGGTCATCTGCATGCCAACAAGTGCCTTTGAATATTATTTTTAGGGGATCAATTATTTAGTTTTATTTGTTTAGGCAGATATATTAACGGATAATTATTTGACTATTTGTTACGGTCTTTTAAATTACAACATGTTAGTCCTCAGGCAGGGTAGTAGGTAATGCAAGACAAATGTTTGCGTGTACTCTAAAGTTTTATGTTATCTTATCCTTCTTCCCTCATCTTCCTCTCTCTCTTCCTCTCTTGTTTACAGATGAAAACTGCCGGGACAGACGTCACAACTGTATGATGGTGGTTCAGGCCAGGATGTGTGTCTACTCCTATTATAAGACCGCCTGCTGTGCCTCGTGTACCCAGAGTGCTCAGCGTGCCAAGAGACAATGACCAGCCAATCACAGGCAGCCCAGGTGTGCAAGAAGTCAAGGATTAGGTCAGAACAGCTGAAATAAGAAGTCTGTAGAAATTGAAAGCCCAGAGTAGAAAAGAATCTGCTAGGGTCTCAGATCAAATGTAGCTATTTTCTCCTGATTCTTCAGGTAAATCACTGTGAAAGCATCCGGTTCATTTTTCCAGTTCTCTGTACACAATTTCATATTGCCTATTTAGAACCACATATTCCACTGAGATCACTTCTGTTCACTTTGCGCGTTAGCTTTGACAGTTTTATTATGCGTCACACGGTGCCGAAAGATGCACTTGCAGTGATTTTCAACTCTTGGTGGCTTATTTCTAAAGCTGAGAGGTTTTAATGGAATGTGCTCACTGAGGACACCGCTGCGTTCAAACAGCAAATCAAGCCTTTCTTTTAGCGAGAGGATCTTAAAACAGATGTAATAAGATATGCATACCACTAATTATGAAAAGAAACGTGCTGAAGAAATAATGTGGGCTAGATAAACTGTGTATACTACGTGTGCTGAAGATCTACTGGAATAGATCTACTGTGTTTCTGTGCACTGCAGACCCCCAACTAAGCTAGAAGGATTTTATTAACTTGTCGTATGTATTTTTCTGTTTGCCAAAAATATTTCCTCATGCGTCCTCTTATTGTTCAGTTTTGGACAGATGAACCAAAGCAGGGGGGGTGACCATGGCAGTAAGTGACCAAATATGGGGAAGAAGTGAGATTCTTCCCAAACAAGAAGGTTTTTAAGACATGGATGTTAAACAAGCAGCACAGACTTGGTGCAGTCCTTTCATGTATTCATGTCAGTGACATAAACACCTAGTCTTTTTATAGAAAGCTGTTGGAGCTGCAGATATGTGTTAACTTAACAATGCTCACTTAATATCTGACAAAAATAAGGAATAATCATATTGATGGGACGGTTGTTGTTTCATACTTTCTCTTGTCAACAAACCACATGAAAAGAACATATGTTCCTCTTTAAAAACGGCTCACACTGTTTTTTTATGAAATGCTGAGAAAAAAGCGCACTTGTTCGGCGACTATATAATGCTGCGGATTAACGCTCATGCATTTATGTGTTACTTTAAAAAAAAAAAATCATGTAGCTCTATGGCAGAGAACGCTAAGCTAATTGAAGCTGCTAAGCAATGCATGTTTTCTTCATGGGATCTTTGACAATAGGAGTAATATAGAAGATCAAGTTTGGAGATGTACATTGTACAATTCACTCCTCACTGACCTAGTTTTGCATTTGAGTGATCAAAAACTTTTTAATGTCCTTCCTGTTTCCTAACCTCATCTCAATATCTTTTCTTTTTGCATCCATCATCGCCTCCCTAGGAGGGACTGATGAATCTGTCCTATGAGAAAAGGTGAAAACAGAATTAGGAAACCTCATGTCGACTGCTTTCTTACAATAGTCTTTTAATAATTGAGTTCATGATATGGATCAAATCATTCTGCTTTGACCAGGAAGTACATGTTTTGCTTTGTGAGGTGGCAACGTCTGAATGTGTGTGTTAGTACTCTTTAAGCTTTTTCTCTTATTTTTCTCTTCCGTAGAAGACGTACACACACTTAAAGGCGAGGAGTCTGTATATTTGTCAGATATGTTTTAATGTCTATAATTTCTATATTAGATAGTTGGCGCTTATGTCTTATAACTGAGTAGAGTTATCAGAAGTGTTGTTGTAGACTGCATTTATTCACATCTTACTGTTATATAACTATTTTGCATTTGACATGAGAATCGTTCCTGTGAGTATCAGATGCGTGTCTGCGTATTCGTGTGTGTTCGCGTGTGTTCGTGTGTGTGTGTGTGTGTGTGTGTGTGTGTGTGTGTGTGTGTGTGTGTGTGTGTGTGTGTGTGTTTTGCGATTGTGGCTTTGAATGTGTCTTTCTTGTCTCTAATCCCTCATAGTAAAAAATACTTTTTATATAAAAACAAAAAAGATAGTAATTTATCTATTATCTAAAGAACATGTAATTTATTTTTTTGGTTTAAGAAGCTGTAGCAAATGTTCTTTGTTACCACCAGAGTTTATACGATTGTTAATGTTGATACACAGACTTTTTTTATCATGCAAAAACAGAAAACAGTGTGAAAATTCATATCTTTAAAGCTTCATTTTAAATAAAACAACACAGAAATTAAGTGGTGTGTCATGTTTGATTTTACTCAGTAACTCAGGGTGATATTGCCAGTTTTCCTCCAAATGATGGCGCTGTTGAGTCTCAAAAACGGGCAGGGTTCAGAAATAAGCGGCTTACAGAGGAAATGTCTCCTTGTGTTTTGAAGTTTGCACTTTGTTGTCTGCTTTTATTTTGTTTTCAATGTTGATTTTTGTAGAATATTGAATAAGCACGGCTTAGCTTACAAGCGTGCCTTGGTTTTCCCAAATATATTTGGTTTAACAGGACTGTAAAAAAGCTGTCTTTATGAAGCATTGTTCTTTTATTAAATGTGGTGTGATGTCTGGTAGGAAGGAAGCATTTCAAAAGCAAGATAATCATGGAGATTATTCCAGGTCCACAAAGCATTATACAAGTTTAAGAGGTGCAGATTGAAGAGTAGGAGATAAGTGCCAATAATAAATCAAAAATAAAAGTGAGGAAAAGGAGTTTGAAAGTTTAAAGGGGCTAGCAACTTTGCTAAGTACCATAGTCCTGTTATAAGGAGCACATATTGTTCTTTAAACTTCATTTTCTTTGAAAGCTATAGTCAAGATTTACTTTGCAGTTTCAGGTTGTCAATATTAAGTATAATCAACAAATAGATGATGTTATATTATGGATTAAGGTACCCAGCAAAATAAGCCCCACCAGCTGCAACATTAAAATGATGAAAACATTTAATTAAGTACTTTTGCTACTGGTAATTTAAGTATCATACACGTATAGTATAATATACTTAAAGTACTAGTATTAACTGTTATCTCGCTGCTAATAGTGTTGTAGGCCTTGTTATAAGATTTGAAATGTCTGACTTTGACTAATACAGAGCACTTATTCCCCCACTGTTTGTATTTACAAGATGGACCAATCCGACACTGCTTTGGTTATGACCTTTAAGAAATCTGAGAATCATAAAGTTTGCTCTTGCTCTTGCGTGCTTTATAGCTGTTTCTCCTCCATCGTGCAGGGAGGCTTAACAGCTCCGGTGGCGTGCGGCCCTCTGCCTGCTCACCGTTCACATCCTCAGGGCGCTGCGTGCCTGCTCTGCCGGTGCTGCTCTTGTAAAGAAAGCCCCATGGTGTGGAGATATACATGCAAGTGTGTGTGTTGTTGTGTGTGTGTGTGTGTGTGTGTGTGTGTGTGTGTGTGTGTGTGTGTGTGTGTGTGTGTGTGTGTGTGTGTGTGTGTGTGTGTGTGTGTGTGTGTGTGTGTGTGTGTGTGTGTGTGTGTGTGTGTGTGTGTGTGTGTGTGTGTTCTGTGGGAGGGGTGTAGGCTATATGGTGAATGAATGAGGAGGGGGGTGCTTGCTCACAGAGGGCACGAGGCAAGGCAGGCAGATGGTGACCTTTTGGAGTAAATTACCATGAACCCTATGACTCTCTCTTTCACTCAATGTTCCCCCTTCCAATACCATTTGCATGCACACACGATAAATCAAAGAACATGTGTCATGCTATGTTAGTTTGTTCAGATTTAACATTGGACCCTGCCTGTCTTAACATAGGAAATAAAATGGCCCAATGTCGGCCAGTTTTCCAAAGTACAGGCTGTAAAGTAGGCCAACTCCAACCCGGAGCTATCTCTCCTTCTCTCTGTCACACATTTTACTCTGAGTGGGTGTGAGCGTGATTTTGGGCTCGGGCGTGAACAGCTGTAGTAGTCGTGACTGCGTGCACAACCAGCGGCGGCGCGCTTCGGCTTCACGTCAAGAGGCATCGCTTCAGCACCAAGGCCAGGGCTCACGGCTAGAACAATAGGCGGCTCCGCGCACGGTGTTGCCTAGGAACCGTGTGGAAAAAGTCTCCCCCACACATTGTCACTCGGGAAAATACTTTTAAAACAACTATACTACTTCTAAAAATGTCCTATAAAAATAGTATGTATATCGCTGAGTGTACGAGTAGAAGTATACTCATTATTGAGTAAGTATGGGTTAGTTTTATTTATTTTTCGTGTGAGTGAGGCCGACATATATATTGACGGTCCCTGGCAGTTACGTCACAAGCTAACCGCTTGGCTGAGCGGAGGGGGAGGGAGAGAAAGAGGAGAGACACCGGCGTAGGACGTTAAAAGCCATCCAGACTCTGAACGGGTGAGACGCAACAAGAATAGAAAAACGCAAGAATAGTAGGTTGAAATCACCTCGATTTAAAGTTGGAGCAATATCGGCACGACTGTTAAGTCTCCAAGGCAACTAGGCAAGTTTAAACTGTTGGATGTTGCGCGAATTTAAGCGACCGGTTGGCCTGTTATCACTTTATAATTAATTGATTAATTGGTGAAAGTGAGAACTAACTAGCTACGTTAACTCTGGATTTTGGGAGTCGCGAGGTTGACTACATTTCAGTGGCGACAAGCTGTGTTTCGGACTCACCTGCTAGGACTTTACTCCACCACCTGCAGGCTTCCACACCGGGAACACCGGGAGTTTTGTAAAAAAAACACACAAAAAACACAGCCGAGCCTGTAGCATCTGAACACCGAGGAGAAGGAGGAGGAGGAGGAGGAGAAGAGGGAGAGTACGGAGGCACAAAGAGTGGAGAGCATCCAGAGAGAGGGGAGGAAGGAGGACGGCACAACAACAGAGAGCATCCCTCTTTAATTTAGGATCCACACAGGCACCACTCTGCCCGTATAAGCATCCTCTGGACACGGTAAGAGCTTTGGTGTGTGTAGCCTGTTTATTTCCCTGCCTTGTTTTGTTCTGGCGTGTGTGTATGTGCATGTGTACATTAGGGGGGATCGGACAAAGAGCAAGGGAGCCCCATGACATCCGTGTGTATGCTGTAACCTACAGCTGGCTAAACAAAGAAACCGCTCTATTGCCATGATTTACCCCCAATCACGCTGTTTCCTCTCTGTCTCATGTGTAGGGATCCCGAACGCTGTTTATCCACCAAAAGGTAATGAATGCTTACAGATATTTTCGATGTATTAATATATATTTAATTGGGAGGGAAAAGTCCCATTATTGTTTTTTGATTGGCTAATTAACATTTGCATAATTGTTTTACCAGAAGCTACTGGAGCCCTTTGTCACCAGGCTGGGCAATACATACTTAAATGTTTCAAGCAAATCATTTTTACATTTATTTGCATAATTGAGGCACACATTTTGTAGCCCAAACCCCTATTTAAATTATACATTTTTCTTTTTATTTGAATTGATATTTTTTTATACTGATATATTTTTGGTATCCTTATTTTTTGTATTGTTACTACTTTAATTATGCTTACACTATATTCAATGTAATAAATGACATATAATGAACATAAGTTCTAAAGAAAGAATACTACAAATATAATTGTGATACCGAAGGAGTTTTAAACTCTTTAAAGTGCATACTTTTGAATGTGTAATTTGTTACCACTGTAAGTCACACCACTTTTGTCAAATTAAAAACAATTTTAGTATAATTATTGTGACTATTACTGTCCAATGCCAACTTCTCTGGCTGTGACCCAAAGCTTATCCAGCATCGGTTCCTCCTTTCCAGGGACGACTGCTCCTGATCTGTGTACCCCTGCAGTACCCAGTCCTCCTCTCCACTCTGTCCCAATGAAGGAGGCCGACGCCATCAAGCTGTTCGTGGGGCAGATTCCCCGTAATCTGGAAGAGAAGGACCTCAAGCCTATCTTCGAGCAGTTTGGCAAGATCTATGAGCTAACTGTGATTAAGGACAAATACACTGGCATGCACAAAGGTAGGTCTCGCTGCTATAACACAGCCTAAACAAAGAAAGACAGGTGGGGATAGACAGACAGAAAGCTAGATAGACGTGTGACAGTAAGGCAGATAGATGGGTGGATTTTCCGGCGCTGAGAGTCACCATGTCACCATGTCACCATGGAAACTGTCACACCTCCTCTCGTCTCCATCTCCTGTTAGCACTGCAACGTGAGATCATGAAACCAGGCACACACAGTCAGTCACTACACATACACTGTGAATCAAAAACCTGCTCATGCATGAATATGCTTTTGCCAAAATGTGCTAAAAAGAATACTATATAAAGGTGTCCTTTGATATATGGCGTGCAGAGTTAGAAGACTCCTTATCCTGTTAATGATTAAGAGTATTTAAATAATGGCCCCTTCTTACAATAGATGGGTGATAAATTGCAGCAAACACACACTCTCTTTCTCTCTCTGGCATACACACACACACAAACGCACACACTCACACGATGACCTGGGGTCTTGTGTGTTTTGAACCAGATTAGGCTGTATGCTCCAATCAGTGTAATGGGGCTGTAAGCCTGGGTGACACAGGGGAAAGAATCTGTTGTTTTGAGAATCCCCACGGCCACAGTAAGCCCCTCTTAAAAGCAATGAGATGGACCATAAGATGTGTGTGTGTGCTTGTGTGTGTGTGTGTCTGTGTGTGTCTGTCATTATGTTGAGTCATGCTCAATTCTTCAGATCTACAGTGTGTGAATGTTTTCATCCTAATCGTCTCTTCTTTACTCTGAATCCACGTTAGTCTGTCTGAGATGTCACCGGGATGCTAACCTGCTGCTAATCTTGTTGTCTTAGTGCTGGTGACAGGTGTAGTAAACAGCTCTGGCCAGCCAGCTCTGCTACCTACCCCTCCCTCACACACACAGACACAGGTACAGCACATAGGAGAACAGAGGGAGTGTATTTGGAGTGATCGTGAGGCATGCATAGTGGTTGCTTTAGGGCAGGAACCTGACTGTAAGGCCTTGTTAGCCCCACGCACACGTCTGTGGTGCTGTCATGTGTGCTGACTCGTGCCGTGCCGTTCTGAAATGTGCCGTGCCGTGGAGTGTCCTTCTCTTGCTCTAGAGTGCATCATCATGGTGTTGTCAAGTTTAGTTACAGTGCATGAATATATATATTTTTGAATCGTTTCGCACAGTTAGCCTTATATTAAATCAGAATAGGTGAGAATTAGGGATGGGACGATATAGGATTTTATTGCGGATCACGTTGAAAACTCAATAAGTTTATCGTGGTATATTTTTGTTATTGGGTTGACTAACCTATAAAAAGTCTAGATCGCTATCATGGTAGAGAAGTGAAAATAGAAACAGGCTAAAAAAACTACAGGAATTATCAACAGAAATAGCAGACTCACAAAACTATACATTTTTATTTATGCAGGGGGATTATTATTTCCTTATTTTGGCATGTTATATGTTCACTAAAAAAAGATTTGTGTTACCTGTAAAGCAATACAAAACCAGTTTCTTAGAAAGGTGATTCTAGTATCTTTTAGTGCCTCGTTAAGAGCTTTAAGCATTTAGATGCTAATTGGCATACTATTGGGAACCTCAGTTATTTTGGCCAGCATAATCGTGACATTAAACTTTCATATCGTCCCATACCTAGTAGAGCCTTCTCATGGGAGGCATCAGAACAGCAGACGTTGAAATGATTGAAATGGTGTGGCTGTGTGTGTTTTTGTAGGGGTTGATACAGAGATAGAGGATGACAAATATTGGAGCTCCTCGCTGACCTTTTCCACCGTTCCTCCTTTCCCTTCTTCTTCCCTCTCTCCCTGCCTCTCTCTATCTGACAGGATGTGCGTTTCTGACGTACTGTGCGAGAGAGTCGGCACTGAAAGCCCAGAGCGCTCTCCACGAGCAGAAAACACTACCAGGGGTAAGTGCAAACAGACACACACACACATCCCCAGACAGAACACACTTCACACTTATGCAACAATGCACACAAGCTTGCAAATACACTAATATCAAATCCGCCCCAATCTAAATGCACAGCCGCTCGCTACCTTGTACACACACAAACACGGCCTCAGATCAGTGTGTGTGTGTGTGTGTGTGTGTGTGTGTGTGTACTAGTGGACGTTCAGCTCCCATTAGTAACACTGTGACATAACTCAAGCCGCCAGCAGGCGTCTTGCTGCTAAGGACAAACACTCCCTCTCGCAGGAGACACGTAGGGTTCTCTGTGAGCATAATCATCTCCATTTCTCTCTCTCTCTCTCTGTCTCTCCATCTCTCTGTCGGTCTCTCCGTTAGCCTCCGGTGATAGCTCCCGCCTAGAGAGTGTGTGTAATTAATGTGGCCATTCCCCTTTGTCTCATCCCAGTCTCCCTCAGTCTCCCTTGTTGAGGGATCGTGTGCTGCAGTTGGGCAGGGGTAGGACACTCTTCATTATGGATGGGCCACTGTGCGAGATCTGTGTCTGTCTCGTAGGCTGTACCTCTCTGTCGCTCCCTCTCTCTCTTTTCTCTCTCTGACCTGGTTTCCATTGCAGTTAAAAGAGGATTTTACAGTGGCTGTTTGGAGCATTTTGCATTTTTACCCTATTTGTTGCATCAAAAGTGTGCAATAATACCCGGCTGTAGGATGTTTAGTAGAGATGAGACTTTCCGAACCATATCCAAACTCTGATTTGCAGTTTTAACATAATAGTAAATGTATCTTCACCATCTCTGAGCCGTTCTCTATCTTATTCTCCCTGTGTCGCCCTGCCACTGTTGGAGTTTCCGTTTTTTTGCACCTTCTCTGCAAGCTATGGTGTTGATAAGATCTATGTGGGGAAATGGTAGCAGGAGAGCCTGAAGAAAATACTTTTGGGGGAGGGGAAATATTCTTATAAATACAAATCCCTGCATCCATACATACATATTGCTTTTTCATGCAGCTGGGAAATGCCTCTCCATTCGTGCACACACAGGAACACAGCATGTTAATAATGACATTAATCCAATTAGGGCCTGCTAAGGAGTCTGACCTTTCTGCGGAAATCAGCTCCCCACTGTCTGCTGTGTCTGGTTCCTCCCTCCCGTGCTGCCCTTTGTCCTTTGACTTACCCCGCTTACTCTCTCTTCTCTCTCCTGGGTTTTTACTTGTATCCTTTCCTGTTGTTGATGACTTAAATAACCGGTTGTGGCAGAAGCAGATAGTCACAGAGAAATTGTGATGAATATTCTGGACACACGGAGGAAACATTTTGCAGGGAGGATGCTCATTAGTGGGACAGATTTACTAAAGAGCCGGCATGAAACAATCAGAAGCTCCACTCCCCCGAGAAAGACGAGTGCAGAATGGAGGGTGTGGCTCTCGTGTGCTGGCTTTTCAATAAGACTGGACTTTTAATGAGCAACATGACTGTTTCTGCGTGTTGCTTTTCATCAATTTGGTGTGTCCTGCTCTTCCCCTTAGTTGTTTATCTTAAAAAAGATCCTATTACTTATTCTATCCAGTTTGAGACATTCTTCAGAGGAAACGGAGTACTCTCGGTGAACCTATTAAAGTGTTTTGATTTGAGATCACTGAGGTAAATGATGAACAACAAACATAGAGGATACAGTTTTCACTCAAACGTGACTTTATTCAAAGGACTCACAGTTGTTTCTCACTCATTCCATCCAACAACCCTCTTGTAGGCTGAACACTGCTGAAGGATACATCTGAATCCCCCTAATACATTCAAAGCATTATTTAGCTGGGTATATTTGAGCTCCAGCATTCTCTACGTTTGAGCTCTGCTATCACTTTCCACTACCTGTCTATACCCTTTTCTATCCTGTGTGTCTTTCTCCCCCTTCCAGTCTATTACCTTCCTTGACAGGATTTGGAAATGACTTCAGACGATTTCTCTCTCCCTTTCACACATCCTCCCATTGTCCAATTCTTTTCATTCCCCAAGAATTGCTTTTTCATCTCTTCCTTATTCCTCCTTTTATTTTTCCCTCCATGCTTTCCATTTTATCTCTCTTTTTTTTCCCCCTCAAATCCCCTCTGTCCTCTGTTCAACTCCTCCCCTCACGTCCCTCAGTTTCTCTGCACCAGTAGAATATTACAGAATACTTTTCCTCTCTGAAATCTCTTCATGGTATCCCTCTTTCATCCCTGCTGTCTCTCACTCAGTTCTTCCCCCTCACTGCACGCTCACGCTGCCTTCTCGGATTCTCATTTCACAGTCATTTATGGTAACCCTTCTTCTAAGTCCTCTCAACGTCAGTCCCTCTCCCTCCACCCCCCCCCCCCGCAGTTCCTCTACCCCTCGTCTCATTTCCCCTCCTCTTGATTAGTTGACCCTTTTGACCGTTTCACACCCCCATCTCCTCCTCCTCCCCCCCCCCTTCTTCCCCGGCTCTACTTGTTAAGCTGCATGATTAGTTTCTCACAAACTCATTTTCATAGTCAGATCCTGGGCTCACCATGGGGCAAGGGGGGCGGAGGTGTGTGTGCGTGTGTGCATGCCACTTGCATCTGGGGATCGCGGCTCTTAATTGCGGATACCGGTGGCACGTCAGGCCCCTCATACAACTTGAATAGAGCCATAGCATCACACACTCATACAGATGTGTTTCCCCCTTGCACCATGGCCAAGCAATTAAAGGTTTGGAGACAAGTCCAACGCTACAGAGGGCTCTTGTGCGCTTGTGTCTGTCACTCAGTGATGGGATTTAACGCCGATTGAACGGTTCCAAGCAGCCAGTAGAGGAATGAAAGGAAGAAGACAAACACAGAGCCAGTTGCAGAGATACTATACCTCGAATGTCCCCTGCTAGCTTCAGCAGGGAGCAGTGGACTGTCAGATTGGAAAATGAGAAAAAGGATAGAGGGATTGTGCGAGGAAGAGAGGGAGATGAACAGATGGCCTTATCAGAGTGTCCTGCGCCTTGTGTTTCATTTGGACACAGAGAGGGAACGCAGAGGGAGCACGAGATGACGAGAGGGAGAGAGTTACATTATATTAGTCACAGTCGCAGACATTTAACAGTGGAACCACTAGCAAGTCCCACTGTAGCACACAGATGTTTTGGTGTATTAGATGTGGTACAGAGATTCCCCCTGGGATGCATCCACACGAAAGAGCTCATGTTTAGCTGTCGCATTATCAGTGCTAATTTGCACTTGAAAATTGAATTTCTCATTGGCATTTGTATGCAGGGCTTGTTGTCACCAAATGGGAATAATGAGGAAAAGATCCAGGGAGGTACAAAATATGCTCCTAAATGTAATGTTTGGCTTTACCTGGTTGATGCTTCATTAAAATCATGACTATAATTGCCAACTGAGGCAGGACGAATAAGCAAATAAACATTAATAGTCATTATGCAGTCCATGTATTAAATGTTTCAGGAAAAACAAAGGCTTTTGTCTTTTTAGTGCAGAGGGTTGGTAGCAACAGGACAGCGTGTGTCCAAGGTCAGAGGTCAGGGCTCAGCCTCTATACAACAAATTCAGGCTGGGTTGTCTCAGAGCTGTTAAAAAAAAAAGGATGGTTATTGGGGGGATGGTGAAGTAAATGTTTGGATTCAGGATGCTCTAAATATTTATTTTTTTCATCCTGCTTTTAGTATCTGCCATGCCTTTGGATTACTTTTCATTCTGCAATATCATTTTGCCATGCTGGTTTTTTCAATAGCTTAACAGTCAATTGTATGTTTTATTTTTTACCAGGAATATTCCCATTTTCCATTCAGAACAGAATCTCTATTACAAGCAGCAGACTCTTTCAAATGAAGTCTTAGTAAACTTGTCAATTGTTATGTTACATCCCCAGCATCTATATCCCTGATATGTAAGTCAAATGTAAAAGTTACATTTGTACCTCTATAAAACAAAGTTACAGTAGTCTTTCTTACAAAATCACCCTGGCTTGATCCTATCTCCATCCTCCCTCCCTCTTTCTCCGGCCTCACTTCACTCCCGGTCCTCTTGTAAAGATTTTAACCTCACATCTCCCTCCCCGCCTCTATCTTTCGCTCTATCTCTCCCAAGCCGACTGCTGCTGTTTTTCCTTCCTTATCTTTCCCCTTATCTTTTCCTTTTGTTCTCCAGCGCTGATATCTCTCTCTCCATTTAATCTGGACCCTCTCCCCTCTGCGTTTATCACTCCCCTTCATCTTTGGTCTACTTCAAACACACATGTTTTTACATAGACACACACACGATCACACGCACACTCACACACACACTCATGCACATCTGTTTTGGTCACGCTGGCGTCCGCTGATCTCAGTGTAGGTGAAATTAAAGTGTGATAAGCAGCTTACCAGGTGTGTGTTGTCATGCTTCACTGCTCTCCAGGCAGCACTCTGCTCCCTGTTCTTTGATTAGAACACACACACACACACACACGCACGCACGCACGCACGTACGTACGCACACACACACACACACACACACACACACGCCTAATGAATTATTAAAAAGGCAGAAAAAGCGCCACAGGACAAGTAGTTAACAATTACTGATACAGCAGAAGATCGATACACATATAAAAAATATAATAAAAGTTTGTAGATGTGATATTGATGTAATGCATATGGAATGACAGCGTTCCTTAGCCGATAAATTGGAGTAGTTCCAGGGTTACTGCTGGATCATGCAAACATGACAGAGGCTGTTATGTATTTTATTGAGCTTGGGCTGGAGAGAGAGTGAGAGAGAGTGAATTTGTTATTTATGTCTCGGGCTGAAAAGCCTATATTTATTTACATGCACAATAAGGACCTACATGGACTCAGCTGGGTACTGCTACGTGCAGCAGCTCAGGAGTGATGTACAGTAGTTATTTCTTTACAGTAAGAGTTAAATCACTTTTATAATTTTTTTTAAATATATGTAAATAATGTACCTTTTTTTTAAATGCACAATAAATATCCAACACCACAAAAA